ATGTTGGGAAAATTGTAATTGTTATGATATACATAGAAGGGGCTTCTGTGGTAGTTGGCCAAGATCTTTTTTTTTTGCGAGGAAGATCAGCCCTGAGCTAAAATCCGATGCCAATCTTCCTCTTTTTTGCTGAGGAAGATTGGCCCTGGGCTAACATCCGTGCCCATATTCCTCTACTTTATATGGGATGCCGCCACAGAATGGCTTGACAGGTGGTGCCTCAGTGTACACCCGGGATCCGAACCTGCGAACCCCGGGCCGCCAAGGCGGAGCGCGCGAACTTAACTGCTGCGCGACCAGCTAGCCCCCAAGATCTATTTTTTGATCTGACTGGTGTTCACCTTATAATAATTTCTCAAGGTATATATTTGGATTGTTTGACTTTCTGTGTTTGTGTTTTGATTTACAGTAAAAAGTTTTTTTTAAAAAACCAAATGAAAATTCTAAAGCTGAAAAGTACAATAACTGAAATGGAAAATTCGTTAGATGGATTTAGCTGATTGGAGGCTGCAAAAGTCAGTGAACTTGAAAAGAGAGAAATTGTTGTCTGAAGAACAGAAATATATCATAGAAAAATAAACAAAACCTCAGAGACCTATTAGGCATTCTCTAATTGGAGCCCCAGAAATTGAAAAGAGAGAATGGGGAAGAAATAATGGCCCAAAACCTCCCAAATTTGGTGAAAGGCATCAGTTTATGGATATGAATGACACTACACTCATGCGTTGCTTAATGACAGGAATATGCTCTGAGAGGTGCGTTGTTAGGTGATTTCATTGTTGTGTGAACATCATAGAGTGTACTTACACAAACCTAGATGGTATAGCCTACTACACACCTAGGCTATATGATACTAATCTTATGGGACCACTATCACATATGCAGTCCGTCATTGACTGAAATGTTATATGGTGTAGGACTGTATCACCACCTTGATTTTATTGACATTTGTAGAACACTACACCCAACAACTGCAGAATACACATCGTTTTCAAATATGCATGGAACATTCACTAAGATAGATCATTTGCTGGGCCATAAACAAGTCTCAATCAACTGCAAAAGACTGAAATTTTACAGAGTATGTTCTCTGACTACAATGGAATTAAATTAGAATATTGTAACAATAAGATATATTTTTAAATTTCCAAATACTTGGAAATTAGTAAAAACATTCTAAATAACATGTAGGTCAAAGAGAAAACCACAAGGGAAAAGGAAGAAACCACAAAGTATTTAAAATTGAGTGATAATGAAAATACTACATATCAAAATGTGTGGGATGCAGCTAAAGCAGAAATGTATAGCTTTGAATACTTATATTAGAAAAGAAGAAAGGTCTAGAATCAATAATGTAAGCTTCCACCTAAGGGCCAGCCCCAGTGGCCTAGTGGTTAACTTTGGCGTGCTCTGCTTTGGCAGAACCGAAGTTCCTGGGCACTGACCTACACCGCTTGTCCGTTAGGGGCCTTGCTTTGGCAGCAGCTCACATACAAGGAGGAAAAAGAGGAAGATTGGCAGTGGATGTTAGCTCAGGGCAAATCTTCCTCGGGAAAAAAAAAAAGCAGCAGCAGCTATTAAAAAGATGAGCAAATTAAACCCAGAGTTGGTGTGAGGAAGGAAATAATGAAGATAAGACCAAAATATCAATGAAATAGAAAAAAGACAAGCAGTAGAAAAAAATTAAAGCCAAATGGTTATCCCCTAAATAAATTAATCAAATTGATAAACTCCCTAGCAAAAGAAAAAGAGAGAAAACACAAATTATCATAATCAAGAATGAAAGAGGAGATGTCATTATAAATCCTACAGATATCAAAGGATACTAAGGTAATATTATGAAGAACTGTATGTATTCATCATTGTTAGTCATTGAGGAAATCCAAAATAAACCACTACACATCCCCTAGAATGGCTAAAATTAAAGAGATCAACCATATCAAGTGTTGGCAATGATGCAGTGCAAATGGAACTCGCACACATTGCTCTTGGTAATGGAAAATGCTATGATCACTTTAGGAAAAAACATGACAGTTTCTTATACAGTTAAATAAACACTGGTCCTTCGACCTAACCAGTTCACTTCCAGGTATTGATCTAAGAGAAATGAAAAGTATGTCCACAAAACGACGTGTACAAGAATGTTCATAACAGCTTTATTCACAATAGCCAAAAACTGGAAACAACCTAAATGTCTATCAACAGGAGAATGAATACACAAATTATGGTCTATTCACACAAATTATGGTCTATTCATACAGTGAAATACCACTCAGCAATAAAAAGGAACAAATTCCTGATCAAATTAACACCATGGACATTATGCTTAATGAAGGAAGCTGAACACACATATTATGTGATTCCATTTATGTCATGTCCTAAAATAGGCAAAATTAAGGTGAAGATAATCAGAACAGCGTTTGCCTCTGGAGGTGGGAGTATTGATTAGAAATAGATATAAGGAACTTTTGAGGGGGATGACAGTGTTCTATATCATAGGGATCTGGATCTGGATCAGTCAGAACTCTCCAGAGAAACAGAACCCATAGGATATATTATGTATGTATATGTATGTAGGTAGGTAGGTTGATTGATATTGATTGATTGATTTTAAAGAACTGGCTCATGAAATTGTAGGGGCTAGCACGTCTGAATTTTGTAGAGTGGGCCAACAGGCTGGAAACTCAAGCAAAAGTTGATGTTGCAGTCTTGAGGCAGAATTCCTTCTCCGGTATAGCAAGGCAGTTCCGGCGTTTGAATTCATTCAGTGTAGTCTACCTTTTGGTCCGTGTTTCAGCCAACCAGCCGAATAAACTGTTAGAGCCTTTCTGGCCCCTCAAGCTATAACACCTGAATCCAGAATCTCTGCTTAATGGACCTATATCAATAAATTTGGCCCGATCCAACTTTGTGTTCCTTCTACCATTATCCTACACGTTAATATTCATTGCCACACATATTCCTAGATTTCTGTCTATATAAATAGAAAAATCATTCAGTTCTTTTGGGATTGTAGTGCGCCTCCTCATGGGTCACACTTTGTACCTAACCTTTTGGAACCTGCTAGCAGTAGTCTAGTTATGGGTCTAGAAGTAACTACCTCAGGGCAGGTACCTGTAGGTTCTCAGTAAAAACAGGGTTAACCTCCTCAGACAGAGGGCTGCTTCTGCTGGCAAAGAAGACTCAGCAGGGGCTGGCCCCGTGGCTTAGCGGTTAAGTGCGCGCGCTCCACTACTGGCGGCCCGGGTTCGGATCCCGGGCGCACACCGACGCACCGCTTTTCCGGCCATGCTGAGGCCGCGTCCCACATACAGCAACTAGAAGGATGTGCAACTATGACATACAACTATCTACTGGGGCTTTGGAGGAAAAAAATGAGGAAGATTGGCAATAGATGTTAGCTCAGAGCCGGTCTTCCTCAGCAAAACGAAGAGGATTAGCAGGGATGTTAGCTTAGGGCTGATCTTCCTCACACACACACACAAAAAAGCAGAATTTAGGAGTTCAGTGTCCCCAGCTTCATCAGTATCGGTACATCCATTTGTCAAAGTTGTACAGCTCAGCTTTGTGCGTTTCCATGTATGTAAAATTTATATTGAAAAAAGAACTGTTAAGAGTCTGGCCTGGTGGCATAGTGGTTAAGTTTGTACGCTCTGCTTCAGCGGCCTGGGGTTCGCAACTTCAGCGCCCGGACGCAGACCTACATACTGCTTATCAAGCCATGCTGTGGCAGGCAACCCACATATAAAGTAGAGGAAGATGGGCATGGATGTTAGCTCAGGGCCAATCTTCCTCAGCAAAAAGAGGAGGATTGGCATCAGATGTTAGCTCAGGGCTAATCTTCCTCACCGAAAAAAAAAAAAAAAGAACTGTTAAAAATATTTAGTAATTCTGTGGTGGGGTGGAGTATGGGAACACTCATAGATGATACAGACATAACAATGTTGATAATGGCTGAACCTGGGAGATGGGTATGTAGGTGTTCATTGTACCATTATATTGTTATATTTAACCATTCTTATTAGGAGACATTTAGATTGCATCTATTATAATTATTTAAAAAAAACACAATGAACATTTTTGTACATTCAGCCTTTTTTGAATTTCAAATATTTTCCTTTTTTTTTTTTCGGAGAGGAAGATTGGCCCTGAGCTACTATCTGTCGCCAATCCTCCTCTTTTTGCTGAGGAAGATTAGCCCTGAGCTAACATCTGTGCCCATCTTCCTCTATTTTGAATGTGGGATGCTGCCACAGCATGGCTTGATGAGCGGTACATAGGTCTACACCTGGCATCCGAACCTGTGAACCCCAGGCTGCTGAAGTGGAGTGCATGAACTTAACCACTATGCCACTGGGTCAGCCCCAAATATTTTCTTAGGAAGGATTCTTAGAGCATAGTTACAAGCTCATATTTTATGAGTATCTTTAAGGTTTTTGATTTAATTGGCTATACTAATTTTCACTCCCATCAACAGTGTATGAAAATATATATTGTTTGTGACCCCAGCTTAATTTTTACTCGTGATTGCTAAAGAAATTATTATTCTAAGGACACCTAGAAACTAGTAAGTTTCTGGTAGCCAAAGTATTGACTAGTTTATCCCATGACATCTGCTTTGCCTATAAGAAATGGATCCCTAGGCTTTGCCTTTTTTTTTTTTTTTTTTTAATGGTAAAAAAATGGAAAGGATCAAGGGTGAGCCTGTTCTGGCCCTCCGAGTGCATTCATGGCTGAGCGCTTCTTCTGGCCTCACCTCGTGTATGTCTGCTGACCACATGAAGGAGAGGCTGTGGCTGCCCCAGCTTGAAGGATTGTTGCTCTTCCCGCTGAGCATCTAGAGCACGGTTAAGGTCCTGTCAGTGATGATATATTGCTACTGATTAAATATCAACAGTGTCCCATCATCATCGCCTCACAGGTTTGCTAATCAAACTTAGAAGCAAACTTGCAATATCAGATGGTTCCAAATTCAAATTCTTTGATTTTCCTGTCCCCAGGTTCACAGCCCCTCAGGCAGAACTCTATGAAGCTGTTCTAGAGATCCAGAGAGATTGTCTGACCCTCTGCTCCCCTGGAACAAGCTTGGAGAACATCTACAGCATGATGCTGACACTGATAGGACAGAAGCTTAAAGAGTTGGGGATCATGAAGAACATTAAGGAAAATAATGCCTTCAAAGTACTTCACTTCTTTTGACCCCAGTTCTCAAAAACACCTGACATGCTGCTTGGTTTTTGTCCTATATAAAGCTAATTAGATTTAGAAATGGTCTTTGTGATTCTTGTCTGTAAGAGGAACTTAGATTAACCATGGATTAAAACAAAAGGAGTCAGTACTTATTTCTCCCAGAAGATGGCAGCACATTCTGGTTCATTGCATGCTGTGTAACTAGCTCAGTTGTCAGAAAACAAAATGAAGACTAGTGCGGACAGGGTGGAAAAGGACACAAAAAGGAGGAGAGGTTAACTCTAAATTCTTTTGTGGTGATTTTGAAGAGGTCGGGGTCGAAGGGGAGGGTATTTGTTACTTCACTGACGTTGTTGAGACTTTAAGAATATCCTCAAGAGCCACGTCTTTAGTGAGTTTCATCTGCATCCAAAATGTAATGGTGTTCTGTACAAATGTAAAGCCTCAGCTTTAAATTAAGATGTCGGGTGGTCGAGCCAAACAGACCATTAAGGCATCTCCTATCTCCAAGTTTAGACTGCCAGGGTTTCTTTTATCAATAGGAAGGAAGCTATAAATTCTTCCTACTCAGGCCAACAAATCGTTAATTAACAGATAGAAATATCCAAACTGGTAAATGCCTAATAATTACTGTATTATTTCATGTTTCATGCCTACTCCACAAGTTGCTGTGAGATACTTAGGGTCTCCGGAGTAGGCTTCCTGAGGGATGTATGAACATTGAAGAGAGAACTATTCTAACATAATCATCCTCCTTCCCTCAAGAAAAGAGATTTTCATTTGTCATAGTCATTACTGGGGTTACCCAAGTCAGCATGTGTATAGTATATTAAATACTGGGAATGAAAATGTGGATTAGTTGGAATGCCGTTGGCAGAATTGCATACAAGAGGCGGCAGTTTATCAGGTTTCCTAAGCATTAGCCCAAGGATAGGTTAAACATAAGTGGCAGAACCATGAGGGAGATATTAACACATATCTCACTGATTAATACATGCCCAACTTCCCCCTTAAAGGGTCATTGCTCTAATAACACTTTTGTAATTATCTTTTCCAGGCTGCTCGAAAATACTGCCCTCATCATGTTGGCCATTACCTTGGGATGGATGTCCACGACACTCCAGACATGCCCCGTTCCCTCCCTCTACAGCCTGGTATGGTAATCACAGTGGAGCCAGGTAAGGAGAGGTGCCAGCAGCCTCTGACCCCTTGGGACACATAATAGTAGTGTCAGATAGAAAGGTAAACATCGTTTATTTTTACCTGACCCAACATAATTAAATTAGGAGAGACAGGAAAATGAATCTTTCCGGTGTAGAAGGGAACTTAAAATATTTTAGATTTTTCTTGAGTTTTCTTATTTAACATCACACAATTTGTTTAATTTGACTTCTCCAATAAACAACAGATGGGGACTACTTTCTATAAGTAGATATTAAGAAATAAATCTTGGGCCGGCCCCGTGGCTTAGTGGTTAAGTGCACGCGCTCCGCTGCTGGTGGCCTGGGTTTGGATCCTGGGCGCACACTGACCCACCGCTTCTCCGGCCACGCTGAGGCCACATCCCACATACAGCAACTAGAAGGATGTGCAACTGTGACATACAACTGTCTACTGGGGCTTTGAGGGAAAAATAAATAAATAAAATTATTAAAAAAAAAAAAAAGAAATCTTTTTTAACCCTGCCTTTACCAGGGCCAATTTGTACTAGTCTCCCATGTAGTAGTGGTGGCTGCTCATGCTTCCGAAGCCCCCAGTGCTTTCCTGCAGAAAGACACTCAGACTCACCATGTTCACAGTTGCAACTCCACTGTAAACTGCATTGAACTGCCTGCATTATCCTGCTTCTTAGTATCAAAATCCTTTCTCCTAAGCTTCAGAGAAAGCTGGCAATCTAATGGTCCCCCAGCTTGAATGATGCTGGGCATTGGGCAGAATTCAGCAGAGAAGTGGTGGCCACAGCAGAGCGTGAAGATTGATATTCCAAGTCAGTTTTTAAACACTGATACTGTTTGTGTCATGAAAATAGATCTCAGTCTTAGATTTCAAGTGTTTTCAACTCTAAATTATATAAATTATAGCTGAGACACATCTTTCATACCACCTTTTGAACCTAGTCATTTGTTACTCTCTGTGGCCTTATGTACCATTTAGTCCCATCTAGTTGGCTCATGGGGGCTTCCTTGGACTTTGACACCATTTTCCTTTGCTGTTCTGTTTCTTTTTATCCCACAGCAGCATCTGTGAGTGTAGCAGAGGAGGTTTACAGTTTCTTTAATGTGACAAGACCTGTTGTCTAACTTCATGATTAGAAAGGGTACCTTGGGCTCTTAGAATTTTTGAAATGTTCATTAAAGTCGTCCTATTTCTCTCTTTCTTTACATCGTTTGCATCAATTACATTTATGACTTATTTGAGAGGGCTTATTTAAGTATTTCTGCAGCTTCTCGTTGCTAATAATCTCTAAATAAGTGGGGGTTTTTTAGTACATTTTAAAATACCTTATGTCTTTATTTTAGCAAAGTTCCCTTTTTCCAGGGGACTATTAGGCAGAGAAAGAGTGCATTTATATTGTCTACTGGTTCCCAGCGTATATTGACATGCTCATAAGTTAAATGACTTTAGTGGCCTGCTTGAGCCACTAGAATATGACAGAATCATGATCAACACTATAGCAGTTGTATGCAGCCTATAGTCTAATATACAAAATATAATAATAGTTCTAGTAATGATAGCCAACATTTATTGACCATTACGTACCAGACACTTTTACATGTATTATCTTATTTAATCTCCAAAACTCTTTAAGATCCCAGTTTTACAGATGATTTGAAACAGATTAACTTACTTGCCCCAAATCATCCAGTTACTGCCATTTATGAACAGCACATTCTTTTTTCTACTCCTTAGGCATTTATATTCCAGAGGATGACAGAGATGCCCCAGAGAAGTTTCGTGGTCTCGGTGTACGAATTGAGGATGATGTAGTGGTGACTCAGGACTCACCTCTCATCCTTTCTGCAGATTGTCCTAAAGAGATGAATGACATTGAACAGATATGCAGCAGGGCCTCTTGACCCTCACTGCAGCCCACGTGCATCTCGGGTTCAAGAGGGGTGTATGTTGGCATCTGTGCACATGTGCTTTCTGAGTGTCTCTGTGTGTGCATTTATACTCATGTTCCACTCACGAGTGTGACAGCTGTATGATGTGTGTAATTGTGTATGTGGTCTTTGTTTTAAGTAGCTAGACATCTGAAAAATTGAATATTTGAACTGTATATTACTGCAACTTTAGTAACATTAATTCTGTAGAATTAATGACCCAAGAAAGTTTAATTTCTAAAAGTAAAAAAAGTTCTTGGTTACATATGTCCATGCATTCCAGGTAACACATTTAAACATACAGAAAATTCTCTCCTTCTCTGCAGGTCATTCTCTTTCTGCACCTTTGCTGAGATACACCTGATAGCGTAAGATGTTTGTGTGATGCTTATATTTTGAGCTAATCACCAAGGTCTCTGCCTACACTAAAAACCACCCGTCCGTTGTGGGTGGCCAATACATACCTTCTATAACTTCCACCTACCTATTCCAGAGCCTGTGTATCTACTGGGGCCACATGAACCCTCATGGACACTGGTGTCCTGCAATCTCACCATTAAGCCACAGTCCAGATCCCAGCAACACTAGCTATCGAACAAAACAATTTTGAGCCTTTCTTGCTATTTGATTGCCTGGGCGCTAGAAAGTGTTTAGATTCTTGATAAGGAAGGAAATGGAAGAGGAAGAAAAGTATGTATGTGTCTGCTCCAGATCCAGACCTCCATCCGTCTGTTCTCTATCTAAAGATGATCCTTTCCCAGACATCCATGCTTCCTTTATAGATTCTTAATGTACTAACCCTTATAACACACCCTTGAAGCTGCCAAGGGCAAATCCTCTGCTTACCCTGTTACAGTCAGATGAATGGCATGCAGTATTCAGAGAGATACCCCTGTTATCCTTCTGTGACTTCTTCTAGGTGCTGATAAAGCAAACTGGAACCCACTAAGTACCTGTACACATCCTATGATCCTTTTTTTTCTCTAACGTAAGCACTGCAAGGGCAGTGGTAAAGAGTCATATTTCCCTCAACACAGCATTGGATGCAATTATACAACAGCTCAATTTGCAGAGTGAAGGGGGCTAGATTATTGCAGATAGTTTATTCAGAAGCTTCTGTCATAGACAGAAGCTTTAAGAATTAGTGTGTTCACCTCCTTTAAACCTGGATATGATGAGCCCAGGATGTATAAAACATACTAATTGTTAGAGCATGAGTTCGAGGGTTTTTAAGAAAATATTTGTAACAGGGAAGCACAGGCTAGGGGATTAACACTCCCTGTAGTGCTAGAGGTTTGCCCATCTTCTCAAGAAAACTCAAGGTACAGAGCCCAAAGCAGGCAGGCAGTGACTTCATCAGGAGGCAAAGACAATGTTATAAACCAAAGTGATACAAGTCATGTCCTGACAGTGCTCGCCCACGAATGCGTGGCTTGGCTGACCTATAAGCAGCTCTGGGAATGGATGGCTGCACAGCTGGAGTCATCATCCCCATGCCTCCCTCCCCACCTCCCTCCAAACTCTCAGTCCTGTGCTACTTTCTAAAAGAAGGGGACTGAAAATAAGGCCACAACTGGCTTCTTACTCCTGGGGTCTCAGTGGCCCCAACAACCCTTTCCTTGGATTGAGTTTCCTTTGTTCATTTACAATCCTGGAAAAAGGAATTTCCTTTTCTTCCTGGAAATCATTTTCTGTGATTTTCAACTTTCTAGCTAAAAGTTTGGTGGCTTTTATGTATCGTAGCATACTTGAACATGAAACACATTTCTTCTGGTTAGATTCCAGTCGAGTTCTGCAGATGTTGTGAGTAGTACTTAGAGTCTGAGGCTGTGGTGGAATGCTGGTGATTTTTAGTTCCTGACCCAGGTATATTGTCCTTTGAGTCCCAGATTAACCGCAGCAGGTAAGCATTTGAATCAGACTGTAGAACCATTAGGAGATGACATAGTGAACATCTCAGAGCAGTGTTTTAGGGGCTGTCTGATATGTGCAGGATTTGTTGAGCAGATAATTGTGCACAGTACAGGAATCTCATTCATTCTTAGCCGTACCAGAGACTTGCCCCATATTTCCCTCCATGACTAAGTATAATAAATACTTCATATGTTTACCAGGCTCTCCTAATGAAAACCTTAATTAAAAAAAAAAATCCTTGGGGCCAGCCCGGTGGCACAAGCGGGTAAGTGTGCACGCTCCGCTGCAGCAGCCTGGGGTTCGCCAGTTTGGATCCCGGGCGTGCACCGACACACCACTTGTCAAGCCACGCTGTGGCAGCATCCCATATAAAAAAGTGGAGGAAGATGGGCATGGATGTTAGCCCAGGGCCAGTCTTCCTCAGCAAAAAGAGGAGGATTGGCAGATGTTAGCTCAGGGCCGATCCTCCTCACAAAAAAAAAAAGAAAAAAAATCCTTTAAATGTTATACTTGAATTTTTCTCCCTGAGTTGAAGAGAGATGGTTGAATCATTAACGATACCATCTAAATGAAGGAAGCATACTTTTATGTGTTTATTTCAGCAATTGGTATTTTTCCCCATAATCGGGAAACTGGGAGTGTGGTTTTTATTTGAAACACAGTAGTAGAAATACTGGAGTAAAAACTCTTCTGTTCCCGTAGTCATAATATCCAAGTTAGGAAGGTACTTCTGATGGTGGCTAAAGTTTTCTGTGTATATCTTCTTTCAAAATATTGTTGTTTTCTCATGAATTTTTATAAAGTCAGAAAGGGAAAATTCCTACTGTAGACATTATATCTTAATTGAGATTAAGATCCATAAAACAAATTAAATCTCCAGATAAAGACATTGTAACTCATTAAAATAGAAAAATTTGAGCTGGGTGATTTTCCCAAATGTACATAACCAACACCCTCTTCAGCTTTCTTAATAATAGAAAGATTACAGATCTGAAGCATGAGTGCTGCCTCCCTCTCCTGTGCCCACGTCAGAGATCACGAGTAAAGCATAGCGACTGCCCCACCAGTCCAGCTACGACCTCAGACTCCTTTGTAACACAGTGTTTCCTGTAACCGCTACCAATAAAAATGGAGTTGGAATTTGAGGTAGACCCTATCTGCCATCCCTCAATTAGCATATGATCGATGATAATGTAACTTATTTGTGTGTGTATGTTAGAAACTGAGTGAGGGCCCAGGATGGTGGCAGCATAAAGGGCCCTGCTTGGAAGAGGTTTGTATGATATGGTTAATTTTTTTAAATTTTGGTTTCCTAAAGTAGGATCCATAGTCCAAAACTTAAGCTGATAGGGTCAAGTTTTAAGCCTGGACAAATATACTTCAAGCTGAAGTATTTAATGCTCCTGGTATAATGAGACGGGGAATACATCATTAAACCCTAACATTTGAGCAGAATTTCATTGTCACAAAGCACTTGGGTCCTCCTGGCTCCTCTTTTTACCTTGCCCGTGTGGCACTGAGGAACTTGGGGTGGGCGTCAGTATTGTTCAGATCTGGGGTCCCCACTGAAATCAAGGTGTCTTGGGATGTGCTTCAGGAGGATCTGAGAGAACTGCAGTCTTTGTTAGCATTTCTTAATGCTTTGTATGACTTTTATGCAATTATATAAGTTCAACTTGGACAAAATGCTGTTACTTTTTAAGGCTCTATCCACTGAAAATAGATAGGTCACTCCCCAACAAGGGAAAAGCATTTGTTACTGTCATTTTAAAAGTAAACTATGAAACAATATAAAAGTGTATGGCGTGTATGTGTTGTTTTGAATCTAGAGTCTGCAGCTTTAAACATGAGAACATTTTGTCTTACAAAATGTTTTTACAAAGTATTCATTTTACAAAGTATTCATTAAATGCTGTCACAAAATCATGTAGCAAACTTGAAATGATCTTTTCAGTCAGTTGGTCAGAAAAACCAACGGATTAGATCCAGCCCATTAAAGACTGACTCTTGACAATCTAATGTATAACATGGTGGCTATAATTGATAACACTGTATTGTGTAATTGCAATTTAGTAAGAGAGTAAAACTTACATGTTCTCATCAACCAAAAAAAAAGATGGAGCCAGCCCTAATGGCCTAGTGGTTAAAGTTCAGCACGCTCTGCTTTGGTGGCCTGTGTTCTGTTCCCGAGTGCAGAGCCACGCCACTCATCTGTCAGGAGCCATGCTGTGGCAGTGGCTCACATAGAAGGACCTACAACTGGAATATACAACCATGTACTGGGGCTTTGGGAAGGGGAAAAAAAAAGAGAGAGGAAGATTGGCAACAGATGTTAGCTCAGGGCAAATCTTTCCCAGCAAGAAAAAAAAAAAGTATGTGAGTTGATGGATGTGTTAATTAACTAGATGGGGGACGTACTCTCACAACATATCCATATATCAAATTGATGACAAAGTACATTTTAAATATCTTACAATTTTATTTGTTAATTATACCTCAATAAAGCTGGAAATAAAAAAAAAGGTTGACTCCACAAAACTGACCATAGGTCTCCAGACAGCCCCTGTAGGACTCAAAACTAAACTATAGCCATGAGCATTTCATGAAGAATGAATTTTGTGAGGAAGTATGATCAATTTACAAAATTGTAAATATGTGAACTTTCTCAGTGACCCATATAAAGAATCATAAGTGTAGCCAGCTCTCCATATTAGGAATCCTTTTTAAAATCTGAGGCTCCCTATAAAGGATGCTTTCCAACATTTTTCACATCCTGGCACACAAAAAATGACATTTTTTGTATGGCACAATGGAATAAGCGTGAGGGGACCTAGGAATGAGTACATATGATTCAAAAAAATTCATTACATATCCTTTATGTAATTACGATTAGAAAAGAAAAATATATATACAGAGTTTCATACAAATTTTTTAATTTGTATAACACTTGCAAAAAAATAATTTTTAAAATGTCAGTGGAAGACTTAGCATACTTCTGAGAACATGACTATTTTGATATCAAAGTAAAACACCTGCACACAATTCCTGATCCAGACTTTTTAGCGGTAACATCTTCAGATTCTTCATGATCACCATTTACAAGAAACTTGTTTAAATTTAAAACCATTTTTATGATAATTCAAAAATTTATGATTGAACCAATGAATGGATAAACAAAGAGTGGTATATCCATACAATGAAATATTATTCAGCCATAAAAAGGAATGAAGTACTGATTCATGCCACATGGACGAACCTTGAAAACATTATTCTAAGTGAAAGAAGCCAGACATAAAAGGCATAGAGTGTATGATTTCATTTATACAAAATGTCCAGAAGAGGCAAATCCATGGAGACAGAAGGTAGATTATTGGTTGCAAGGGCCAGAGGGTAGGGGGAAATGGAGAGTGATTGCTAACAGGTACAGAATTTTTTAGGTGATGAAAATTTTCTGGAACTAGATAGTGGTGGTAGCTGCACAACTCTGAATATACCATTGAATGGTATATTTTTAAAGGGAATTTTATGGTATATGAATTAAATCTCAATAATTTACAATTGAAATTAAAGAACCCAATAACTCTTCATTGGCAAATGTAATGTGAAATTTCTTACAATGTGGATTTCTAATCAAATAGAAATCATTTACAGCAAATATTTCAAGACAATGAAGCTATAATTCACTGAATGTACACGTATTTTTAGAACAGTCACTCTGCCCATAGCTTTGACCACAAAGCTCAGATGTATCCAGTGTATGTGAAGCAGAAAGCCGGGCTGTCTGGAGCTGCACCTGCAAGGAGCCCGACCCAGTCTTCAGCCCCATGACACTCATGGCCAGCAGCACCTTGGGTATCTGAAACTAACTGCTTCAGCAGCTGCATGGCTCCCTTGTCTTTGCTGAGCCACAGCGAACTCAAGAGCTGCTGCTGAAGTGGATGACCAGAGCGTAGCACCCCTCCGTGGCCATGTTCTCTTGAATCCAGGGCTCTTGGTGATAGGTGGCAGGTAAGGGGGCTCTGGCTGCCCCAAGCCCCATCCAACTGGTCATCCTGAGAACAGAGGGGATCAGTATCTCCCAGCACACCAATTTCAAGGCACATCACTTAGGGTATTTAATTTAGGATCATAAAATCTAGAATTATACTGACCAGAGCTTATCTTGGACATAAAAATTCGTGGCACTGTAAATATTGATCCAGATTTCCACGAGTTTTTAAACCCCAGTGGTTCTGGATAGTTGCCACTAAATGCTATCTTTCTTTCCCTAGGAAACTTGAGACTGGGAAGCCTACAATGGTTTATCAAAAATGTTTATAAAAATAGTCATCTTGAAAAATGTTATTCAGTATCTTATTGCTCAGTGTTTGGTTATGCTTCTCTGCATGTTACACAGATTAAAATCACTAATAAACTATAGCCAAATCCTGCACTGATTATAATCTGAGCAGTGGACTATACATTATACTTGAGCAATTCTGCTTTACAATAGGAATCACCATGGATAATAAATTGTACTTGACATTGCATAAACTAGTTAGAGCAGGCACAGAGTCCACCTAAAGAAGCCTGAAAGAGTCTGCTCTTGACAGAAATATAACAGTATGGCAGTTCCTCAAAAAATTAAACAGAATTACCATATGATCCAGCAATTCCACTTCTGAGTATATATTCAAAGGAATTGAAAGTAAGGACTCAGGTATTTGAACACCCACGTTCATAGCACCGCTATCGACAATAGCCAAAAAATGGAAATAACCCAAAGCAGATGAATAGATAAACAAAATGTGATATATACATACAATGGAACATTATTCAACTTTAAAAGGGAATGAAATTCTGATACATGCTATAATATGGATGAACCTTTAAGACATTGTGCTAAGTGAAATAAACCAGATACAAAAGGACCGGTATTGTATGATTCCACTTATACGAAGTGCCTCGAGTAGTCAGATTCATCGAGACAGAAAGTAGAAGGGAGATCACCACGGGCTGGGAGAGAGGGAGGAATGGGGAGTTATTGTCTAATGGGTACAGAGTTTCAGTTTGGGAAGATGATAAAGTTCTGGAAATGGATGGTAGTGATAGTTGCACAACAATGTGAGTATACTTAATGCCACTAAACTACACTTAAAAATGGCTAAAATGGTAAATTTCATGTATATTTTACCACAATAAAAATTTTTAACTAAAAAAAAACAACTATATTAGCATGTGGGCAAAGGAA